GACGAACCACTCAAGGATCGTGATGGCAGGAAACTGGAAACGAGCTATGAGAACCATTGCCTTGGATACAAAAATGAATACGGTCTTACAATGATATGCCACTGTAGAGAAGACAGATGGGATAAACGCAACATGAATCTATCTCAAGTATTCATCAAAGGTCTAATTTGGCTGGAAGCTTATGAAATCATGAAAATTACAGGAAAAAGCTTGTCGTTTCTCCCAGAAATGCCCATGAGCGAAGAAAATCAACAGAAATTAGAAAAAGCGTTGAGGAGACAAAGTAGAGAGTTGACAGAGGCTCTCGAAAACTATTTCGACCAAATGATGTTCGAGTTAAACTGTCAAAGTGTGAAGGAACTGTTATTGAAATTGTGCATTGGTACAGTCCCTCAAGAACAACCTTGAATCTAACTAAACAGTCGTGCTTTACTACAAGACTCTGCTCGAAGAGTATGAACATTTTGACAGTAGATTTCTGACAAGGAAACTATTATTAAACATTTTTAGGTTAACATATGCATGTAAATGTCCGAGATTTTGAGAGTAATGATTTGCATGTAAGGAATTCTAGGAGGACAACATTGAAAAACGAGATTACGGCATCAATGAAGTACATGTTACAGTTACGAGACAAGCGTTTCGGGGATTCCCCTAAAGGAAATTTCCGAAGTTATTCAAAACTAGAAGAAAAATATTTGTTCAGGTAGGAAGGGGAAATTACCCAGCTATCACAATATCTTCGACATCAATATATTTTAACTCAAAACTGAAGGAAATCAAAAATCTTAAAATTCTGCTGGTTAAGGAAAGATGCATCAAACTTGAGCGACGAGAAGTTGTTATTATCATTRGTGAAAATAATGTAGTTTATGTTTTTTATTTATTTGCACTTTCACTTGTGAAAACAACACATTCAAGAAAGTCCTCTTTTGTGATTTTGTACATTACCGCACTTAGTTGAAATAGGATGAATGAGAGACCGAATATATTCATTCTAGTTGATATTCAACATCGAATAGAATAGGAGATTACATAGAGCAATATTTCGGTTTTATTGCAAAACCATCATCAGGCTAATAGTTACAAAAGTGCAAAGACAAGACAATATACAGCGATTTCAAAAAACGTTGTCGGGGAGAACGGCGAACGGCGATTGTCSAAGGTAGATTGCACGACCGAAAGGGACTATGGTTACAMTGTTTTGATAAACAAAATTTCACTTATTGGATTCACCTTACAGAGAAATTGAGACTAAATAGATCCAATGTTTACCACAGACCATATTGCAGTACAAATCAGTTGTTATTGCCTTTCAATTAGCAAAACCCATGACTACTTTCGGTCGTGCAATCGCCGTTCGACAATTGACATTCGCCATTTTATTCGACAACCTTTTTTGAAAATGGATTAATTAAACAAAGTTAATTCTCTAGAGGCGCGGAGGCCAGGCACTTAGTTGACGTCACTTCATTTGCATTCGTAGGAGATGAGTTGTAAAATTCAGCTTTACACGAATGCTTTTCAAAATGATTTTCTTCATGTACACTTTAAACCAATAGCAGTGGATGGGGACGTTTTTCAGCGCGAATAGTAATAATTCAAATTTCCTTAAAGTGTTGTTGCGTGACATTTTAATCGATAGCGTAGAAATGCCGCAAAATACATATGAATATTGTCCTTCAGTAGCATATTGAGGTAAAAGGAGAGTTGGCGTCCGGCGAAAGCTCATCAAGACATATTTAAATTTCACAGTAGTGTAGGGCCATAAACTCTCCTTTCATTCATATGAATGCTTTGCACGTAATACCAACAAAATGTTTGTTGGATGAAAGATTTTTACGTCATGTGCAAGCAGGCCTTATCCTAAGTTCCTTTATACAGGACCATTTAACCAGAGAATTTCATTGAATACACACACTGCTGCTATAAAGTATGAAGATTGACATGTTGTGGCGCGTCACTTCGCGTGACCCATCGTGAGTTACAGGGCAGTTATACTGTAAAACATCTATGGTTTTGTAATTGTCTACCACATATTAGAACCAATTAATATTTGAATTTAGGTTTTTTAATATTAATGTCATCATGTGAGAACTAGGAAGAGGTTCCCTAACACTGAGCTTGGGATACCTGTGTTATAAGCGTTGAGGGGATTCCCCCGAGGGAAATTTCCCTATTCAAAAACTGCTTGGTGTCCACTTTTAATGCAGAATTTCCACACGCAACTATCTACTCTAGATCGAAGAAATACAAAAATCTGTAGAAATGCAGTTCAACATGACAAGCCAGAGACTGCACTTCAAACTTGAACGACAAAAACTCGTTGAAACGTTCGGCAAGTTCGTCTCGTTTCCCATCATTTCTGGGGAAACTGGAGTCGAGGTTAAAGTTAAGACAAGCAAAGACAACGAATACACTTTAAGGTGCTATTTGAGAAACGATTTTCCCAACTCAATGCCGGTAATGGTTGTTTGTAGTCCCGACGAACCACTCAAGGATCGTGATGGCAGGAAACTGGAAACGAGCTATGAGAACCATTGCCTTGGATACAAAAATGAATACGGTCTTACAATGATATGCCACTGTAGAGAAGACAGATGGGATAAA